AAAAATGATTTCTTGAATCAAAGCTTTTATGTCACGTGGTTTTGTCTGTTACAGTACATGCTTGAGAGGACTCAGGACAGTGATGAAAATGTGGCATTGGAAGCATGTGAATTCTGGCTAACATTGGCTGAGCAACCCATCTGCAAAGAGGTGCTGTCTTCACCTCTAGTACAGTGAGTAATTTAATAGTGGCAGTAGTGCATGGTCTACTTTTTGATCCATGAGCTTGTTTTCATGTAGTAAGTGTTTGATCTTTACATTGTGAAAGTTTGCAGATGGTTCCACTGTTGTATCCTTTCTTAACAGAAGCTTTGTGCAAAAAAGGAGATGGAATACTAAGCCAATTTTGCTTATCTGAGTTTCAACTTGGCTGAATAATTTATGTTAAACTATATATTAAACATATATAGCTCAATGTATATGTTTGTGAACTTTCCTTAGAGAAACTAATACAATAAAATAACAGAATATAGAAATGAAAAAAGTTAATATATATCCAAAGGAGTATTTTCATGAGAAATAGTCCACAACTATTTTATTCCAGTTGGATAGTATCTCTCACCATAACCTAAACTTTAGACTTCACCAAGCCAACTGTCACTGTACTAGTTATTAATTAGAAAGATGGGACAAGTCGGTTGGCCACCCTTTTCTAAGCAAATCTATCTTCATATTTCAATAAGTGAAATTGAACTTGCATATCTTGGCATGTCATTTAGATTGCTTCTTATAGGACTGAGCATAAGACTTGATTACTCTTTCCAGAACTGGAAAGAAGAAAAATATTTTAAAATTGTCCATCAATTGCTATTGCCCAGCTATTACTAATTGCCACTGTCAATTGTTACGTATACTTCTTATATTCCTATAATCATCTCACATGTTAATATAAAATTATTGTAGATTGTAGATTTATTGTAGAATTAGAAAACCAACCCCCTGTTCAGTGCAGAATACACTACAGCATTTCTGATTGGCTCTCTTTATGAAAGAAAAATCACCACATAATGTGATGGCCCATTTAACCGATTAACAGTTCTTACAGTTATAAAGTATTCCTGATTTCTGGCTTGAACCACCTTCTTTGTAGCTTTAACCCACTAAATCTGGTCTTGCCCTAGTGGTTCTCAACCTGTGGTCTGCAGATCCTTGGGGATATGTGATGTCATCACTTGGGGTCTGTAAAGTTTAAAGAAATTTATTTAAATCTTGAGTTAAGTCTTGGGGGTCCACGGCCATGGTCTGTGGTCACAAAAGATATTTAAAAGGGGTCTGTGGTGAAGAATGGTTGAGAACCAGTGCCCTAGAATGTCTTATTACTTTTTTTTAAACCACACCCCAAGTCTGAATGGACTTTATAATTTACTACTTTGTTTCTCCAAAAAGAAAGCCAGGTCTTATTTTCTTTTGAGCCCCCCCCAAAATGGCTAGGCCTTCTTTTTGGGGAGTTCTAATTATTGATTCACCTTGCGGTGGTGACACCGATAGCCCTGCCTAGCAGGAGCCCACTGCTGGGCCATTTCTTCTGCGGCTGCTTGTCATCGCCCCAGCCTCTGTTTCGTGTTCAGATGCCTGCTGGAAGGCATCTGCAGCCGATAACAGAGCTCCGGATCCGGCTGCAGAAGGCGTGGCAGGTGTTGGGGTGTGCAAAGGCTGGCAGCTCCACCACCACCCCATCCCCATCCTAGCTTATTTTTTACCTGTGTGCCTCGCCCCTCCCCTGCACCCCGGAGTGGGCAGGGTCTTAGGTCTAATTTTGTGGACGGGGGCTTAATTTGATCACATGTGCTCAAAAACGTGATAGGGCTTCTTTTCAAGGTGGGTTGTTTTTTTGGAGAAACACGGTATTACATACTGTAGTTGCATGCCTAACAACAGAGGCCATGATATCTTATGTGAATACTTCCTTGCCTTTAAAAATAATTCAGATGTTTTTGAACTCTCAGATGCTATTGAAATGCAAATCATACATTTTCATTCCTATTTGTAAAAGCTGCTGTTATCTGTATTGTTCTGGGTCAAATTTTCACCTGATAAACTAATCTATCTCATTTTCTTTTAACAGATTGATTCCTATTTTGGTGAAGGGCATGAAATATTCAGAAATTGACATCATATTGTTGAAGGTATTAGTTTGACCATCCAAACAATTTAGGAATACTATATTGCTTAGTTTCTTGATACTTTTTCTTTTTTGACTTTTTATCACCACTCATAGTTCTTTACTAAGCCAAGTTAATTAAAATGATAATATTCCGTGTTGCATAGTAGCTTCAATACTGCTTCATTGTTTTTTATGCCATTATTACTGCTGAACATCCCTCCTTATGTACTGGAAAAAAGGATAGACATTTCTATGAAATTGAAAAGTACATTATCAATTGCAAAAAATATAATACACATATATACTGTATACCCACTATATACTGGTCCCCTCATGTCAGTTTTGACTTCTGGACTAATCCTTGTAGTTTTCTTGGCAAGATTTTTCCAGAAGTGATTTGCCATTGCCTCCTTCCAAGGGCTGAAAAAGAGTGACGCCCAGGGTCACCTAGCTGGCTTTTTATCTAAGGCAGGATCAGAACTCCTGGTTTCCTGGTTTCTAGCCTTGTGCCTTAACTACTACACCAAACTGGCAGTCATGCTTTATATATCAGGTAACAAAATGAAGTTATTGGCAATAAGTCAAATGGTATGGATTTTTGCCTCTTAAAGAACATTATAACATATTTGTAAATACGAGGAAAAGGCTGAGCAAATGCATTTATGGAAATGATGCATTACCTTCAATCTGACAGCAGTGATGGGCATTATATTCGTACTGTCTGATCCATAGAAGCATTGTCTGAAGCCTCTTGAGAAGCTTGTAGTTCACTTCATGCTATCCAGTGTTTAAGCATTTTGAAGTATTTTCATAAGTTGATTCTCACTAGTCAAATACAGATGGCTGCAAGTGAACATGATATCCATGGTCTTTGTTGGTTTCTTATCTGAATCTGTTCTATGCAGAGAGTAACCATGTGAGTTTCAGAGAATAACTCAGGTATTTCATTGAAGAACCAGTGGAATACTATACAGTGTTTTGCTTTCCTAGGAAGAGAGATTCAGTATCGAATGGGATTCCATAAGCTCTTTTCTCTCACTTGCAGGGTGATGTGGAGGAGGATGAAGCTATCCCAGATAGTGAACAAGATATCAAACCTCGCTTTCATAAATCACGCACAGTTACTCTGCAGCACGAAGAAGAGCGGTTGCAGGATGAGGAAGATGGAGAGGATGAGGATGATGACGATGACACACTGTCTGACTGGAATCTGAGTGCGTAGGGGAATTGGTATTAGATGATGCTCTAGGGATCGAGGGGAATAAAATGCCAGGGATGTGGGTCCTGGGAAATAGTGCTCATGGGTCAAATGGAGAGAGTGCTATACTATGACTATTTTTGAACTTGAAACTGTAGCACTTGTGTAGGTGAAATGGTTAATGCATTTTCTACTAGTTCCATTCTACTGTTATATGGAACTGGATTATAATTAGATTGTACAAAACAAGTTTTACTGGGAACCAGTTGTTAACTCTTCTTTGTGGCTGCCCCTTTTTAACTCTAATTTTATATCATATTGGCAGGGGCTTGAGAGAAGAACATATAATTAACTTTCCAATACACACCGTTGAAGTAATAAATACATTTCTGACATAACAGGTTTTAGCACAGAAACTGTTCTTACTTATTGATGTGAAAAGTTCGTGTCATTTCTGTCACATGGCCCATTTCTTTTTCAGGGAAGTGTTCGGCTGCTGCCCTTGATGTGTTGGCCAATGTCTTTCGAGATGAGCTCCTCCCGCATCTGCTGCCACTGCTCAAGGGGCTGCTTTTCCATCCTGAGTGGGTCATCAAGGAGTCTGGAATCCTTGTCCTAGGGGCAATTGCTGAAGGTGGCTCTTTAAGTTATTAACTTAAACCAGAATTTATTTCTACTGAGGGACAAGGATATTAGTGATCACTTTTTTAAAAAGCATGGAATTGAGAGTTTTAATAAGTTTACCTGAGTACGGCTACATCATGTACTAAAAACATTTTTTGCATTTCTAGGCTGCATGCAGGGCATGGTTCCTTATCTTCCTGAGCTGATTCCCCACTTGATCCAATGTCTGTCTGACAAGAAGGCTCTGGTGCGTTCCATTGCCTGCTGGACCCTGAGCCGCTATGCACATTGGGTTGTAAGCCAACCCCCAGACATGTATCTCAAGCCTCTGATGACAGAGTTGCTCAAAAGGATTCTTGACAGTAATAAAAGAGTGCAGGAGGCTGCTTGCAGGTAATCTGCTCCTGGAATGCGTCAGTTATCTGTGAAGGACAGCATTGGAGATATTTATAATATTTACATACAAGTTTTTTTTCTTTATCTGCACAAATATGCTTTTTTATTTATTTATTATTTCTTGTGTTTCTTTTAATTTGTAGTCAAAGTGGCTAATAATTAAAATACAAATAGAACATTGATGATCCTTTACCACCCATAGTCCTCCCTCCTTAAGTATAGAAATTTCTTTGTAGAGTCCCAGCGGGTTATTGTTATCTCCTAGGCTTGATAGGGAGCTTAAAAATGCTTAAGAAAGGTATCTGGAAACCTTGAGCTTCCATCTGTAGCCTTGAATAAAACTAGGATCTGTAGCATGAATAGAATTTTGAGAAACATAAACGCTGCATAGGGTATTACATATTCTAATGCCCTCTATTCCTGGCAGTTTGGCTTGGGATAATGACTTCTATTTGCCATTGTGCAAGTAAGCAGTTTGACATTGGTTTCTTGGAAGAGCGTAGCCTCATTTTGCCTGCCTATTATAATCCTGAGAAAGAAACACTGGGAAAACAATAATTATTACATTGCCAACCTGCATCCAGAATATATGATTTGTATGGGCTGGCCACCCATACCCTGAAGCATGTCTACAAAACTCTCCTTGTAAGGCTTTCTACTGTTATCTTGAGGCTTTTTTTGGATATGATGAAGAATTTGATGGATTGAGCTCTGTCACATGATGAGTCATGTATTCGTACTGTCTGATCCAGAGAAATGCCTTTATATTTGAGATTAAAAATAGTAATTAGGCTAGCACAATAAAACTATTTTTTATCCAAACTGAAACAAGTGTTGGATTGACTTTTCATTTCTATCTATCCAATTCATTGTGCTGTTATCCTTTGGGTTTGTATTCACTTCTTGTTTGTCATTTTTTTAGTGCTTTTGCCACACTTGAGGAAGAAGCTTGCACAGAATTGGTCCCATATCTCAGTTTCATTCTGGATACTTTGGTTTTTGCTTTTGGAAAATACCAGCACAAGAATTTGCTGATACTATATGATGCAATTGGCACTCTGGCTGATTCTGTTGGACACCACCTCAACCAGCCGGTTAGTACATTTTTTCCTATTGGCAGCAATGTCAGCAGAAACTGCTAGCATTAAATGATTGTGATTAGTTGAACTGTCTCCCTATTTCTTCCCACTTGAATAAAATACTATTAGTGCCAGGATTTTTAAATGCAGGAAAATCCAGGTAGTGATTTATTTATTTTTTGTACTCAATAGGATAACATTAGGAAGAAGGGGATCTGCTACTTATATCTGTTTTCTTTAAAACATAAATCCTGAAATTAAATGTTCTTTCATAATAAAATTTGATAGTAGTATAGGTAGGGATCTGACTCCAACTTAAATGAGTTATCATAGAGGGGCGCCTCTTACAGTTTTTTGATTTCCATCAAACTTGTTTCCTTAATGCACAGATGGGATTTCTAGAAAAGAAAAGCTGATAAATATTCAGTTCATGACTGTTGATGCTCTTGACACTAAGAGATTTCCTAATGTCTGGAAGAACTTGATGGAAAGGGTTAGCTCAATGGAAGAGATCTTACCCTGTGTGCAGAAAACCCCACACTCAGGCACCAGGATAGAATGAATTTCAGAGTTCTTCCACATCAAAACAAAAGCAGAAAACAACCTCCCCCTAATAATTAAGATTAGCTTCTTTATAGTCATGGTGAGTGCACAAGACAGTGCGTGAGTGGTGCATGTCAGGGAGGTTACACAAAGTATGTACAAAAGTCAAGGTGCCGTTTGGTGAGGATGTACCAGCATAGCACAAGTACAGAGGGCTGAGAAAGGGTGTGCAAGTCAGGGAGACTTACCCCAGACATTTATGACCTTCCCTCCCAGCTTCCCCATTGGGGGAGCAGGCAGGGGAGATTGCAAATGATGATCATATGATTGCAATGTGCTGCAACTGGTTGTAAGTGTGAACTGGTTGCAAGTGCTCAGGTTACAATCATGTGACCATCGCGGTTCTGGAAATAGCCAGAAATCCAAGGACCAGTCAGCCATCATTTATTTCATGCCATTGCAACTTCAAAAACTAGCTGAATGAATTGTAGGTTAAGAAGTATCTGTAGACTATATTTAACAGCTTGTGATCTGCCTCTGTATCAAGTGCATCAGGAAACTGGTCTTCCAGCTCTTCTGGTTAGGCTCCCTCAGCGTTGGACCGAAATCTGCAATTGTCCGCAGTTTTGGTTTGTGCTCACCGCTGGAGGGCCCCGATCTACCTGATTTGGGGCCGAAGCCGCCCCGTAGAGGTGGCGGAGAAAGGGGTGAATGCCAGCTGAGTTAAGGGGAGCTGCATTTCCCCTCCTTAGAGAGGCATAAAACTCTTCTCCGAAGGCGAAGGCGCGGATGCACCAAAATGGCCATCACAAAGAGGAAGATCTGACTGACAAGAATCATGCAGGAGCGGAGAAGGAGGACAGCTTGGGTGACCCGGCTAAGCAGGATTAACATCTGAATACAAGATACCCTAGAGCTAAAATACTTAAGAACTCTTTGGAAAAGACTTTTAAAGCAGCTGCAAAGAAGAGGAAGGAAAAAAGTTCTGACAACTGGAAGTGGCTTTGAATTTTGAGAAAAAAGTTAGAAAAGGAAAATAGTGAAAATGATCCTGACACCAAATAGGCAAACTTAAATCTGAAATTGAAAGTGTCAAAAGGCAAACAAGGAGCTTTTTAAACTTAAAAGCCAGAAAAGGAGAAAAAGTGAGGAAGGAAAAAAAGGGGTGGAACTTGGACATAGTAAAAAGTGTCACCTGATGCTAAAAGAAATTAATGTGAACTTTTAAAAGACTTTTAAAGAATAACGAAGTAAATGAAATTTTGCTACAATCAAATAGAGCCCCTGGAAAGTGACAGTGGAGCTTGGAACTTTGTAACAAAGAAAAAAGCAAGAAAAAACTGTTCTGGAACTGTGATGATTTTGGAAACTTTGAACATTGGATTATTACTGGATACAATTGAAATTTGTTCTGGGAAGCAATTTTATAGAATTTGGTTGTCTAAAAGTACTGGGAAGTATTGAAAGATGGCAGAACTTTATTTGGAACTGAAAATGTTATTTAAAAATATGAAGGAACAACTGCAAGTAAAAGGAGAATTGTTTGGCTTTGTTCTGCAATCTCTGGAAATGGCGGTTTTGGACTATGAGGATCAGCAAAAAACTTCAGAGGAAGAAGGCGACTTGAATAAAGGAGAGGCCATCTTTAATAAAAAATTGGGACAACGAGGTTTGAAACTCAAAAAGGGGGGAAAGGACTTAAAAATTGGAGATAAGAGGAAGTAATCAGAAAAAGGAACTGAGAAACAAAATATAAGGAAAGAGCAGAAGGGAGGATTACAGAAGGAAGCATTAAAGAGGGAGGGGGACAAAAACTGGAGTGAGAAACAGGAAGAAAATAAAGGGGAAAAGAAGTTATAAAAAACAGAATCAGGAAATAAATATGGGAAACGATCTAGAATTAAAGGGAATAATTTGATTGATAGACAGAGATAATGGCTGAAAATACAACTAAAATAGAGGATTCTGCATGGTGATAAAGGATTGTATAAATATTTTAGAAATAAGAAATTATGTAGAAAACAGGAAAATATATGTAATTAAAATGGAAGATGAAATGGGGATTGTTACTTAATCGAATACTCGACAACAGATCAAATAAAAAACAAAAATGTGTAAAATACAATTGAATTATATTAATGTATATTAAGGATTTATAGAATATGATTGAAATGAATTATGAGAAGGTTTGTAAGGGAAATAATACCAGTCTTTTCTTTTTAGGATGAATTTGAACTGATTAATTATCTTCTTCCTTTTTATTTTTTATTTCTTTTAAACTTAAAATTGTTTAGAGGTAATTTAAAGGGGAAGTACCATGCGGAATCTGATTAAAATGGGATTTATGTTATAATATAGATATTAGGTGACGGGATATTGGGTGACATTTAATGGGATAATTTAGAAGTAGAATTTTTAATGGGATGTGAAAGGGAATCAACTGTAAGATATGAAGGTGACACACTTTAATTGGCAATTATAGGGGAAACTTTGTTTTGTAATGTTTGAAGTGTAGATATGGATTGAAATTTTACACAGGACAGATAAAAGTATAAGTATAATTATTTTGAAAATATGAAAACCTTGAAAAGGATATGTAATAGATTTAGATATGAATGAGAGAGTTATAAAATAAGCCTGAGGGAAGTATTTGAGGGGGGAAAGTAATAAAGAATATTCAAAATAGTGATAAGACATGAAATTGAATGTGAAAGATAAAAGATGAATATGTAACTGAGATTATATCTGTATGGAGATTTGAAAACCTGGAACCAAGCTGTTCACTAAAAAAAGATGTTTTTTTTTCTTTGTTTTGTGAAAACCGAAATAAAATTGTTTTTTTTAAAAAAGGAAACTGGCCTTCCAGATATTACTGACCTGCAGTTCAAAACAGCCTTCAATAATGATGGGTGTATGTGTGGTTTACTGTTTTTAGAAACAACCAAGGTGCTACAGGTTCCTACTTCAGGTATACACAATGAAAGGTTAATGGCAACATTCAGTTGCTTGGCTCCTTCCTGGTCAGCTGCTTAATCACTTCTCTTAATTTACTTATTATAGTCAATCTCAAAAGTCAGATGTTACTGAAATTTCTCAGATTTGTTTTCTCTGTCTTCTACTTTTGTTTTTATGAATAGATGCCCCTATCAATGCAATTGTTAGCATTTGCAAATCTGGTAAATAATACGTAATTAGAGTTCTAGCAGAAATCCCAATGCCAGAAACATATGACAAATTAAAATTGTGACTGAATCTGTAATGTACTGAATGATTTTTAGTTCTAACGTTTCTGATGGTTCCAACTGAAATGTGTAAATTGCCTTATTTTTCCCAGGAATATATCCAAAAGTTGATGCCTCCACTGATCCAGAAATGGAATGAGCTGAAGGATGAGGATAAGGATCTTTTTCCCCTCCTAGAAGTAAGTAGCCAATCAGCTACTAATTATTTGGATGGGTGTTAGTGTCTCAAATGATATGATTAATGTCCTTGTGCATGAAAAATTGACTTGTCTGATGCTCTGTTTAAAGATAAATGTCTCCTTGTCTGTAGGTCCTGTTCTCTGTAGGGATTCGTCTTGGTGTGTCATTTTAGCAACTTGAGAGAAAATTGATATTTATTTTCATGTTTAATCTCAAATTTCTGATCTCAGTATTTAAGTACAGAAATGTACATGCAACATAATCTTTCATGCACTGTCCATTCACTTCTACAGTGTTTGTCATCTGTAGCGACTGCTCTGCAAAGTGGCTTCCTACCATACTGTGAACCGGTCTATCAGCGCTGTGTAACGCTTGTGCAGAAAACCTTGGCTCAAGCAATGGTATGGCAGTATTTTCTCAGTAGTATCTGAGATATTTGTTCTAAGTTCCCAAAACATGTTTCTGTTGTGTCATCATGGCTTGCTAGTGGATAAGCAGTAAACAGAGCAGATTACTTCATCATAAGTTTTTTTGAATTGAATAATCTTTTGTTGCCTGAATCTTAATTTGCCAAGTCTATTGTTTTAATGTGTGGGTGTACAGTTTTCAATCCAAGGGCTGGCTATATTTGGTTTAGAGCTTGACAGTGTGGGCTGCATTCTGTAGAACAATGTGTAACAGTGTGAAAATTCAAATGTGAGTTCATTT